CTGTACTAAATAACTACCAGCCTATTTCAAATCTCCCTTTCTTGGGCACGGTTCTAGAGTGAGTGATTGCTTCTCAACTCCAGGGATTCTTGGATGAAACCAATTATCTAGATCCCTCGCAGTCTGGTTTTAGGCCTGGAGACAGCTTTGGTCACCTTGGTGGATGACCTCTGTAGAGAGCTAGATGGGGGAGTGTGCCCCTGCTGGTTTTCCTGGACCTTTCAGCGGCTTTTGGTACCATTGACCATGGTATCTTTCTGGGTTGGCTCTCTGGAAAGGGTCTTGTGAGACCTGCTCTGCAGTGGCTCTGCTTCTTCCTGGAGGAACGTTCCCAGAAGGTGATGCTGGGGGACAACTGCACAGATCCCTGGCCATTGACCTGTGGGATCCTGCAAAGGTCTTTTCTATCCCCCATGCTTTTCAATATCTACTTGAAACTGCTGGGTGAGGTCATCTGGAGTTTTGGAGTTGGGTGCCATCTCGATGCAGATGACACACAACTCTACAAGTCTTTTCCACCTCATTCCAAGGAAGCTTCCTGGATCCTGGACCAGTGCCTGGCAGCCGTGATGGACTGGATGGGGGCCAACAAGCTGAGGCTAAATCCAGACAAGACAGAGGTCCTCCTGGTCAGTCGTGAGGCCAATCAGGAAATAGGGTGGCAACCTGTGCTCAGTGTGGTTACACTCCCCCTGCGGGCACAGTCCGGGGGTCCTCCCGGATTCATCGCTGGTGTCAGTAGTGACTGAGAGGGCCTTCACACAGTTAAAACTTGTGTGCCAGTAGTGACCATCCCTCAAAAAGCCTGACTTGGCCACGGTGGTCCATGCCTTAGTTACATCCAGAATGGACTACTGCAATGTACTTTACGTGGGGCTGCTTTGAAGATGGATCGGAAACTGCAGTTAGTGCAAAGATCGGCAGCCAGGTTTCTAACTGAGGTAGCTATAAGGAGCATACCATGCCCCTATTGAAGCAGCTTCACTGGCTGCCGGCAAGTTTCCAGACCCAATTCAAAATGCAGGTTATCACTTATAAAGCCCCAAGGACAGCCTCTTCTCTCCTCTCTCTTCCCAGCTCCTTCTTCTCCTCCTTCCAAAGGAGGTGAAGTACATGTGKCTGGTCTTCTTCCAGGAGAACTTCCCAGCYGAGGTGGAGGCGGGCGAGTACCTGCAGGAATTTGGGGGCAAGGGCATCTTTCACGTGGACTGAGACCACCTCCTGGTGCCCCCCTGACTTCACTGGCTCATCCCTTTGCCGGCCCCTTTGCTTTGCCTCTTCCTCCAAGCGCCTCCCCAGMCCACCAGAGGAAGAAAAAGAGCCCCTCCGAGCCAACCCAYAGGAGGAAAGATAGAGAAGGAAGCAGCGTSGGTGTGGGTGCTGGATCGTTGTTTAGCTGMKAGAGGGGCCTCAGTYGCCATTCTGGGGAGGCAGAGGAGACAGCCATGCAACCCCTCTCACATTGCCGATCGACCCATCTAGGGGTTGTGACCCCCAGGTTGAGAACCACTGCCCTGTACCCTTCAGGTCCAACCTACCTTTGAGACTGCATCTCTTTCTATGATCCGCTGTGGATTGTGAGATCTGCCGGGGGGGGGGGGGCTCTCAGTCCCACCTCCATCTCAAGTGGGATTAGTGTGGAKAAGATAGAGGACCTTCTCGGTGGTGGCTCCCCTGCTTTGGAATTCCCTCCATAGAGAACTTAGGTTAGCCCCCACTCTTAAAGCTTTTCGGTCAAATCTGAAAACATGACTCTTTAAACAGGCCTTTGACCATGATTAAAATTTTAATTATTAAACTTGAAGTCTTAGTGATTTGCTTCACTCCAGCACTTTGGATTGATACTTGAAGACAGCCTATTTTATATCCGCAGGCACTGCTGTGTTTTATAAAATTTTAAATCTTATCAATTAGCGTTCATATGAAGTTATACTGTCATTATTTTGGATACTTATGTATTTGTGTATTTTATGTGTGTTGCACTTTGGAGTGTTTTTGTGAACCGCCCCGAGTCCCTTCGGGGAGATGCTGACGGGATATAAATAAAGTTTTATTATTATTTATTACTAGGTTGGGTACTCAGCATTGCCCGGGACCGGGTTATTTGAAAACATCCATTTTTAATTGTACAAAATGCATAAAGTTGTGGCTGAACTACAACTCAATGTCAGGTTAACCCCGAAAAACTCCATTAGTACTTAAAGTTTGTTATGTTGGGCAAGTTTGTTCTAGATGCATCATGGGTGGGGTCCAGTGTGCTCTCTGACTGTAGGGTAAACTACACCAGATCCATCCTTGTTTGGTTTCATAGTGCGCTCTGGCTGTAGGTGAACTACAACTCCTCTAAATCTCTCCAAAGACCTCTAGTATGTTTTGTTGGTCATGAGTGTTCTGTGTGCCAAATTAGTTCCAGGTTCATCATTGCTGGTGTTCAGAGTGCTCTTAGATTGCAGGTGAACTATACATCCCCGTATCTACAACTCCTGTAAATCATGATGAATTCTCCCCAAACCTCTCTAGTATGTTCAGTTGCTGATCAATTCCTCTGTTTGCTGTGTGCCATAGAAAAGAGTAGGAAAGGGTTAAAGGAGAAACAGCGGGTGGGGTCATGCAAATTCCACACCAGTTGAGAGAGTAAGAAACACTGGGATGTCTGTGGTAGAGGAAAGACAGAAAATCTAGGATGAAATTGCCCCTGTATGAAAGCCTTCACTTGCGTGATGGGCAGTATGGTGTTGGTGGAGGACATTGGCAGGGCTCTTGGACATGTTCATGGTGCTCGCTATAACTTGCAATGCCATTGAAGGGAGGGCCATTGGGGTCTTCTGAGTAGTGGGAGCTGTAGCTGTTTGTGGAGGCAAGAACTTGTCTGTGTAAGTGCGACACCCCAGCTACATACACACATGCATATTTTCACTTTTATTATGTAGATAGATAGATAGATAGATAGATAGATAGATAGATAGATAGAAGATATGTTCTTCTTTGGGAGTGAAAGTAGAGTATGTGTTCTTTTTTGGGAGCCAAAGCCGAGTATGTGTTCTTCTATTGGAGTGAAGTTAAGAGTATATGTTCCAAAGCCCTCCAAAATTGGCTGAGAGAGTGGCACCTTTAGCTTCCAGAGTGTATAGCTAAAGTGCTCCATGTCCCAAATTATTTTTAAGATGTAGTATATATCTTTTATGGATATGGATATAGACCATCATGGAATGAATGAAGCTTGGCATTGCTTTTAAGTTCCATGACTCAAGGCCGTTGGATCCAAGGAGTTGTAGTTTTCCAAGGTCTTGAGCTTTCTCTGCTCAAGATTGCAAACTTATTATTGTTGTTGTTGTTATTATTATTATTATATTTATACCCTGGCTTATCGCTCTGTAGAGCAGTGTTTCTCAACCATGGGGTCGGGACCCCTGAGGGGTCACAAGGGGATTTCAGAGGGGTTGTCAAAGACTATCAGGAAACATAGATTTTTGATGGTCTTAGGAACCTCTTTGACAGAGAAGGGTGAAGATCTCTCCGCCTGTCCTACAGATAGTGAATCCTCCCACCAAAGGCCCTCCTCCTGCTGTGATTAGTCATTCTCTCAGCTGGCCTCTCAGCCAATGGGAAGGCTGTTTCTGAGACTCTAAGCATGGAGAGGAGAGTAGGTGTGTTCGGCGCATGGCAGTGTGGTGCGCATGTGCAGGCGAGGGCGAGCGTGCGAGGCTGGAGGGAGGCTCATACCAATGAGTCCAAGGCATGGGGGTTCTGTGTGAGAAGTTTGGCCCAATTCTATCATTCAGAATGTTCTTTGATTGTAGGTGAACTATAAACCCCAGAAACTACAACTCCCAAATGTCAAGGTCTATTTTCCCCAAATTCCATGAGTGTTCACATTTGGGCATATTGAGTATTTGTGCCAAGTTTGGTCCAGATCCATCATTGTTTGAGTCCACAGTGCTCTCTGAATGTAGGTGAACTACAACTCCAGAACTCAAGGCCAACGCCCACCAAACCCTTCCAGTATTTTCTGTTGGTCATGGGAGTTCCAAGTTTGGTTCAATTCCATCATTGGTGGAGTTCAGAATGCTCTTTGATTGTAGGTGAACTATAAATCCCATCAACTACAACTCCCAAATGTTTAAATCAATCCCTGCGCAACCCCACCAGTATTCAAATGTGCCAAATTTGGTTCAGTGAATGAAAATACATCCTACATATCAGATATTTACATTATGATTCATAACAGCAAAATGAGAGTTATGAAGTTGGAACGAAAACAATTTATTGGTTAGGGGTCATCACATGAGGAACTGTATTAAGGGAAGGTTGAGAAACACTGCCCTAGACAATCTTTTAGGTGTGTTTTGTCTATGGGAGGGCAGACTAGATGCCCTTTGGGGGTCCCTTCCAACTCCTGTGTCTCAATTAAGGGGGGGGGGGCTGAGCGAGTGAGGGAAATCCCTTAAAAGATCTGTATACTTTCGCAGAATGGTTGCTCATGTCAACTTTGAAAACAAAACGATTCCCAACTTTTGTTTAACAAGGGAAGAAATTGACCCACTTTTGGGGTATATGACCCTTGCTTGGTATCTGGGTTTTGAGACTTCCTGGCATCATCGCCATCCCCCAACTCTTTGCTCCTCTCCCTTTGCAGTCTTCCTCCTCGGTTTTTGAATGGGGTCCTTTCTCTCTCTCTCTCTTTTCTTTCCTCCTTCCCTCCTTTTCTCTCGCTCTCTGGAGTCCTAAGGTCATTCCTGCCACGGCGCTCCGGAAGCGCAAAGCCAGCTTAGAGGGGCAAGGACCAAGCCTCCCTTATTGGCTCCCTTAGCGAAGCAATCCCTTTCCCCTGAAATCTCCAGCTCTTCCTCCTGCTCTTTTATTTTTCCTCCCCGGAACGCCCACTGACTTCCAGTCTGGCTTCTTCTCTCCATCACCTGGGTTGGGGTCCCTTCTCTCTCTCTTGGAGCATCATCTTTTAAAAGACCCCCCTTGTCCCTTCCTTTTCTCTCTTTTTCAAGGTGGGAGAGCTGGACCTCCGGAGCTGCGCCTCGCCTCCTAAGAAGTTGACTCTCTCTCTCGGAGTTGGACGCCAGCCTTTTGAGGAAGAGGAGGAGGAGGAGGAAGAAGAGGAGGAGGAGGAGGAGGTAAGAGGGAAAGCAAGGAAGCCGGGCCTCCTGCCTTGAGAGGAATTGCCTCTCTGTAAGCAGCCGGAGGAGGAAGAGGAGGAGGAGGAGGAGGGAAAAGAGGGAGGAAGAAGAGAAGGAGGAGGGAGAGGGAAGAAGAAGAGGAGTAAAAGGAAGAGGAAGGGAAGGAGGGAAGAAGAGCAAAGGAGGAAGAGGAGTTGGGAAAAGAGGGAGGAGGAAGAGAAGGAGGAAGAAGAAGAGGAGCAAGGGAAAAGAGGGAGGAGGAAGAGAAGAAGGCAGGGAGAGGAGGAGGTGGAAAAAGAGGATGGAAGAAGAGAAGGGAAAGAGGAAGGAGGCGGAGGAAAAAGAGGGAAAAAGGAGGAGGAAGAGTAGTCGGAGGGGAAAGAGGGAGGAGGAAAAGAAAGAAGAGAAGGAGGGAAAGAGGAAAGAAGAGAAGGAGCGGAAGGAGGAGGAAGAGTAGGAGAGAAAATAGGGTGGAGGAAGAGAAGAGTAAAGGAAAAGGAGGAGGAAGTGAAAGAGGGAAGAAGATGAAGAAGAGGAGGCGAAGGGAAAAGGAGGAAGAGGAGAAGGAGGAAATGAAAGAAAAGGATGAGAAGGAGGGAAAGAAGGAGGAGGGGAGAGAAGAGGGGAAGAAGAGGAGCTGGAGGGAAAAGAGGGAGGAGGAAAAGAAAGAAGAGAAGGAGGGAAAGAGGAAAGAAGAGAAGGAGGAAGAGAAGACAAGGAAAAGAGGAGAAGGAGGAGGAAACACAACATTAGGTCATTTGCGTAGTATTTATCTATTTCTGTCCTTTTTCATGGGGTACTTTGCTTTTCCTTATTTATTTATCTACCCATCCACTCGTTCATTAATCCCGTTTTCATGGAGGATGTATGGAGGATCTTGAAGGCTTTCATGGCTGGAATCACTGGGATGTTGTAAGTTTTTTGGGCTGTATGGCTATGTTCCAGAAGCATTCTCTCCTGACATTTTGCCTGCATCTATGGCAGGCATCCTCAGAAGTTGACAACATGGCTATACAGCCCGAAAAACTTACAACAACCCAGTTTCATTGAGAATCTTAGTCTACCTTATTTCTTTATTTATGGCATCTCTCTATAACTCTGTCAGCAGTTTTCATGGGCCATCTCCTTTCTGTTTCCTTGCAGTTGGACTACGTCTCCCTGGAAGATCGAGACCATCCTTCTCGAGAACCCATGAACATCTGGGACAGGTAGGAATTTCCTCCGGTTTGTGGCTTTTCTCTCCTTTGGCGTGGGGTCTTCAAACAGAGTCAAGGAAGGTGTCTTTTGGGAGGGCTTTGGTTGTATATTCGTTGCATCGCAAAACGAGGCTAGATTCGAGGGCCTCTGGGGATCCCTTGCAATGATTCTGGAGATGGCGGAACCTTCTTGTTGAAGGTCTGTAAACAGAGCGTGGATGTGCCTTTAAGAGTGAGCAGTCTTTAGCAGCCTCACTAAACTACAAACCCCAGAATTCTGCAGGAGACAGCAACCGGATTTAAAGTGGATTCATTCTCTAGTGTGATGAGGTCCTATGTGTACGTCAAGTAGAATAATTTTAAACAATTGAAAAACTATTATTATTGTTATTATTATTATTATTATTAAAATTATCATTAAAACCCCACATTTATTTCTCGGCCAGGACACAAAGTGTCTCACAGCACTAAAAAGATTATTATTACTATAGTTATTATTATTATTATTATTATTATTATTATTTATTTGAAGTACAACAAGATGAGTCCACATCAAACAAGATCACTCTGCTGGCTGTTGTATTGGATCACACGTCGGACACTTCCCAAGTGTCTAGGACTGTGTGAGGTATCGGCGAATAATGCATGCAGATCCCAGTAAGGTGACCTTCTGCAGCTGGCAGATGGTAATTTTGTCAGCGCCGATTGTGTTTAAGTGCAGGCCAAGGTCTTTAGGTACTGCACCCAGTGTGCCAATCACCACACTAATATCCTGTGTTTATTTCTTGACCAAGATACAAAGTGCCTCACAGTACTAAACAGATTATTTATTTATTTTTCGTGTCAGAAGTGAATTGAGAATATTGTTATAATGTATAGAAAAATCACAAAGTTCAAAACTTGGCATTAGACTAAATATCCTTTGACCAGAAGCTGGCCACTTGGAGTGCCTCTGGTTTCTCTGTGAGAAGGTCCTCCATTGTGCATGTGGCAGGGCTCAGGCTGCATTGCAGTAGGTGATCTGTGGTTTGCTCTTTTCCGCACTTGCATGTTGTGGTCTCCACTTTGTAGCCCCATTTCTTAAGGTTAGCTCTGCATCTGGTGGTGCCAGAGTGAGTCTGTTCAGCACCTTCCAAGTCGCCCAGCCTTCTGTGTGTTTCTCATCCAGTGTCACTGATGGAGGCTCTGCCTGCCACTTTTGGACTCTTGCTTGCTGAGGAGTTCCAGTGAATATCTCTGTAGATCTTAGGAAGCTATTTCTTGATTTAAGGCATTGGCTTGCTGGCTGATATCCAAACAGATAATGGGCTGGAGATGTCATTGCCTTCGTCCTTTCATTTTTGGCTGCTACTTCCTGACAGATGTCAGGTAGTGCAATACCGGCTAAACAGTATAATTGTAGGACGTAGTCATCCTGTGATAATGCGGCATGTATCATTAAGAGCCACATCCACTGTTTTAACGTAGCAAGATGTATTCCACACTGGGCGTGCGTATTCAGCAGCAGAGTAGCCAAGCGCAAGGGCTGATGTCGTCACTGTGTCTAGTTGTGATGCCCAGGTTGTGCCAGTCAGCTTTCTCATGATATTATTTCTAGCATCCACTTTTTGTTTTATTTTTAAGCAGTGCTTCTTGTCAGTCAGGGCACAATCCAGGTATTTTGGTGTGCTGCAATGCTCCAATGGGATTCCTTCCCAGGTGATCCTCAAAGCTCGAAATACTTATCTGTTCTTAAGGTGAAAAGCACAGGTTTGCATTTTAGATGGGTTAGGAATCAGCTGGTTTTCCCTGCAATAGGCAATAAGAGCACTTAAAGCTTCAGAGAGCTTCTGTTCAGCCATTCCATAGCTCCCTGCTTGAGTGGTGATGGCACAATCATCAGCGTAGATGAAACTCTCTGTCCCTTCTGGCAGTGGCTGATCACTTGTGTAAATGTTTAATATTGATGGAGGAGGCATGCTTCCCTGAGGCAATCCATTCTAAATGATGAAGGTGATTGTTGGATTGTTGTAGGTTTTTTTTCCGGGTTATATGGCCATGTTCTAGAGGCATTCTCTCCTGACGTTTCGCCTGCATCTATGGCAAGCATCCTCAGAGGTAGTGAGGTCTGTTGGAACTAGGAAAATGGGTTTATATATCTGTGGAATGACCAGGATGGGACAAAGAACTCTTGTCTGCTGGAGCTAGGTGTGAATGTTTATTATTGATGATAAAGATGATGATTATTAATATTGTTGTTGTAATTATTATTATTATTATTATTATTATCCCACATTTATTTCTCAACCAAGACAAAAAGCAAACCAGAGTACTAAAATGGTGATGATGATGATGATGATTATTATTATTATATATCCCACATTTATTTCTCAACCAAGACACAAAGCGCCTCACAGCACTAAACAGATTGTGTTGTCGAAGGCAACACAGTGATTATTTTAATTTCATGGCCAGAATCACTGGGTTGCTGTGAGTTTTCCAAGCTCTCCGGTCATGTTCCAGAAGCATTCTCTCCTGACATTTCACCCACATCTATGGTAGGCATCCTCAGAGATTGTGAGGTCTAGGCAAGTGAAGTTTATATATATCTCTGTGGAATGTCCAGGGTGGGAGAAAGAACTCTTGTCTGCTTGAGGCAAGTGTGAATTTTGCAATTGACCACCTTGATTAGCATTGAATGGCCTTGCAGCTTCAAAGCCTGGCTGCTTCCTGCCTGGGATAATCCTTTGTTGGGAGATATTAGTTTATCTGGAGTTCCCCTGTTTTCTTAGTGTTGTTCTTTATTTACTGTCCTGAATTTAGAGATTTTTAATACTGGTAGCCAGATTTTGTTCATTTTCATGGTTTCCTCCTTTCTGTTGAAATTGTCCACATGCTTATGGATTTCAGTGGCTTCTCTGAGTCGTCTGACATGATGGTTGTTAGAGTAGTTCATCACTTCAGTGTTCTCTGATAATATGCTGTGTCCAGGTTGGTTCATCAGGTGCTCTGCTATAGCTGACTTCTCTGGTTGAATTCGTCTGCAGGACCTTTTCTGTTCCTTGATTTGTGTCTGGGTGTTGCTGCGTTTGGTGGTCCCTATGTAGACTTGTCCACAGTTGCATGGTAGACTCCTGCAAAGGTGAGAGGATCCCTCTTGTCCATTGCTGAGCTTGCCTAATTTCCAACAGACCTCACAACCTCTGAGGATGCCTGCCATAGATGTGGGCGAAACGTCAGGAGAGAATGCTTCTGGAACATGGCCATACAGCCTGGAAAACTCACAGCAACCCAGTGATTCTGGCCATGAAAGCCTTCGACAACACATTAATAATAGTCTTCATCTACATCCCACTTTTACCTCTTGTTCAGGACGCAAAGTGGCTCACAGCACTGGCTGTCATTATTATTATTATTATATTACTACTACTAGTAGTAGTAGTAGTAGTAGTAGTATAGTAGTGATTCCAAAAATTATAATGGAATGTACAAAACAATTTAAATCAAGTAAAACACATTGCAAACTCTCGTTATTATTATTATTATTATTATTAGTAGTAGTAGTAGTAGTAGTAGAAGAGTAGTAGTAGTAGTAGTGATTCCAAATATTATAATGGAATGTACAAAACAATTTAAATCAAGTAAAACACATTGCAAACTCTCATTATTATTATTATTATTAGTAGTAGTAGTAGTAGAAGAGTAGTAGTAGTAGTAGTGATTCCAAATATTATAATGGAATGTACAAAACAATTTAAATCAAGTAAAACACATTGCAAACTCTCATTATTATTGTATTGTCGAAGGCTTTCATGTCCAGAATCACTGGGTTGTTGTAGGTTTTTTCGGGCTATATGGCCATGTTCTAGAGGCATCCTCTCCTGACGTTTCGCCTGCATCTATGGCAAGCATCCTCAGAGGTAGTGAGGCCTCACTACCTCTGAGGATGCTTGCCATAGATGCAGGCAAAACGTCAGAAGAAAATGCCTCTAGAACATGGCCATATAGCCCGAAAAAAAACACCTACAACAACCTAGTTTATATTTTGCTCTTGCTTCATAGTAGTAGTAGTAGTAGTGATTCCAAATATTATAATGGAATGTACAAAACAATTTAAATCAAGTAAAACACATTGCAAACTCTCATTATTATTATTATTATTATTACTTTCATTTTTTACATTATTATTGGCATTATTAAAAAGGTAAAGGTAGTCCCCTGACATTAAGTCCAGTCATGTCTGACTCTGGGGTGTGGTGCTCATCTCCATTTCTAAGCCGAAGAGCCAGCGTTGTCCGTAGACACCTCCAAGGTCATGTGGCCGGCATGACTGCATGGAGCGCCGTTACCTTCCGCCGGAGCGGTACCTATTGATCTACTCACATTTGCATGTTTTCGAACTGCTAGGTTGGCAGAAGCTAGGGCTGACAGCGGAAGCTCACGCCGCTCCCCGGAATCGAACCTGCGACCTTTCGATCAACAAGCTCAGCAGCTCAGTGCTTTAACCCACTGTGCCACCGGGGGCTCTAGTAGTAGTAGTAGTGACTCCAAATATTATAATGGAATGTCATTATTATTATTATTATTATTACTACTACTACTACTAGTAGTAGTAGTAGTAGTGGTTCCAAATATTATAATGGATTATTATTATTACTACTACTAGCAGTAGTAGTAGTAGTGATTCCAAATATTATAATGGAATGTAAAAAACAATTTAAAACAAGTAAAACACATTGCAAACTCTCATTATTATTATTATTATTATTATTATTACTATTATTATCATCATTGTCCTCTTTCCTTTCCCCAGTTTATTCTTCCCTCTCTTCTCTGTCTGCTTTGAGCTCTGCTCTGTGACTGACAGCCAGGAAGAAGGGGAGCCTGGCACCTAACGGGTTAAGGTCTGCCATTTTGTTATGTAACACCCTTAATGGACATATCAGTGAATGGCATGAAGATGGCAGGGCTTAACCCTTCGCTGGCCAGAGCCCAGGCCTGGGAAACCTCCCACCTTTGCCTTCTTTTTTTGC